CCAACAAAGCGAAGACGCTAAATTTGAAAGAAAACTAAACTACGCGTTCCAAATAAAACCACCACAACCAAACAAACCTCTTCCAGAAATACCAAAATCAAAATCATTTCCAAACCTATTAAGAAGAAAATAAATGAACCAAACCTAACTAGAAGTATTAGGAGGAATAACAACTATACTAATAATCATAGGAGGAGTGGTAATAACGTTAATAATCTGTGCAGAAAAGCATCGAAAGAGACGAAATAGACAATTCCAAAATATACCTTTGGATAATCTATCGGTACCACAAGCAACAAGAACAGTGATACCAAATATCGGAGAAATCAATAAACAATTCAGAACTAAATATTAGATAGCAACGGTGATTCATATATCTGAATCAACACCAATACCAACAACTATAATCCAAACAACAGTATCATTCATAACATCAAGCGTACCAACAATCGTAACAACCTTACAACTATATCTACAAGATCCAAACGTAACCAATACCTTACTTGGAGAAGGAATACTCATAGTACTAATCGGGATAGTATCCGCAATAATAATATTTTGCGTACGAAATAAAAGACTACAATTACTAAAACACGACTTCGATAAGAAAAACGAAGACTTAGCAAGACAGCTAGAAGCTACCATCAGTACTATATGAACCGATACATTCGAAAAGAACCTTACAAAGGAATAGTAACTAAATTACTCGAAGAACCAGTTGAAACTAATCAACAAGTAATAATTGAAGAAATAATACAACAATCTTCAATAAAACCAACAATATTTAAAAAATACCTATTAAATATTTGGAGAGAACAACTTCATAACAAAACAATTAATCCAACAAATCTATTCAAACTCCAGAAATTAATAGTAAAGTTACAAATAAAAGATACTAAACTCTTGGAAATATTAGGAGAAGCAATAAGAAAAGAAGGAATAGATTACACACGAGTAAATGCTAATCTCATCAAAAGGGAACACTCTGAGTTTAAAATAAAAACTCTAAAGAACATAAAAGAAGAAACACGTCAACAACTAAATGTTCAACAAAGTAGTAGGAAACGAAGTAATCTTTAACACATTTCAAGCCTTCTTTACCAAAAAATTTCAAGGACTAGGACACAACAAAAATAATCAGATCAAGAGAAGGATAAACGAATTATATTCAAAACTTCAATGACTAGGACAACAAGAAACAACACAAAGAACAATACAAGAAGAAATAACCATATTTGAAAAAGATCCGTTTCCATTTAGTGAAACAGGATACAGAGAAAGACAAATACGCGTACCAAGAGAAACAATACAAAACTAAATAATAACTCTAACAGAAGAAGAAGTAGCAACATTAATTATATACTGTTGATATACAAACGATATATCAAAATATAATCACGCAATAGATCAATTGGGTAGATCACCACAAATAATCAAAAGACTAATACAAGTAGCACAACTGAGATAATAAAAAATGGCAGTACAATTAAAATTCTCAAGTTTGAAAATATTAGCAACAAACCTACCAACATTCTCTGGCAGGCCAGAAGAATATGTGGAATGGAGAAACTCATTAGAAAATATCTTTAATATAATGAACATAGGACAAATAGTAGCAGTATTCGGAAGATACATGAGAAATGAGGAAGAAGGATGGACCAGAGTAGCATCAGCAGATGACCGAAATGGAGCAGATCTACCAAGATCAAAAGCACATTTCAATATAGAATATTTTAACAAGATGAAAGCAGTAATCTTTACCAAATTAACAGGACCCACTAAAGTATTATTCCAAGCAAACCCAACAATAAATTGCTATTATAAAATAAGAAATGGAAATATTGTAGGACTAAAAGATCAAACTAATTACCTGATAGCAATAGCAACCAATTATACCAATGATGATTGGCACGCTACAGCATTAGGATAAGGAGGACTAGCATACCAATCATCGCAGGTATAATTCAGAGAAGTATTTGATAACGAATACATTACCGACGATATACGATTCAGGAACCAAATGAACTTCAAAAGAAAAAGATTCATACCAGACTATTCTTAAGAAAATTCATTTATGATATTTAGAGATGACTGGAAAAGAGCAAAAGAACTTGCGAATTATCAATTTAGTAATATATTCCTAGCAGCAGAATATCAATTCTTATTAGAGTTAATGCCAGTAGATTATCAAAGTCACATCATGACTGCACCAACACAACCAACAAACAGAGCCGAATTCTGGACCATGTGCAAAAACTATTTCAATGCACAAAAAAAACTAAATCAAATGAAAAATAAAATAATACCAAGGGTAAACAACTTCAGAAAAACAAAAATTAATAATTTAATCAACAGCAACACAACTGATAATTCTGAAAAAAGAGACATGTCAATGGTAGAATGCTTCAGATGTCACCAAAAGGGACACTATGTGAAATACTGTAGAAATGCAAAAAGAGAATTATTCAATAAATTCCAACCCAGAGGAAATCAGAGAAGACCGCCTCAAAGATTCCAAAAGGGAAAAACAAATCAAAGATTCGTAAAAAGAAGATTCAACCAAAACAGACAAAACAAAGGAAATTACGGAAAACCACAAAACTGACCTTGTCAATATTGTAAATATACTAGAGGACATAGAAACTCATGTCCAAAGAGAAATGGGACCTACTACAATGGGAAGAGATCGAACAATATGCAACATAACTTCTGAAACAAAAAAGTAAATAATTTCAAACCAAAAGAAATGAGAGAAATCAAAAAGGATACTAACAATGAAAGGAAACCAAAAGTAAACTTCAGAAAGAAATTAAACCATTATCAAGAAGAAGATGAGGAGCAGGAATACTACTCTTCTCAAGAAGAAGAGGAAGAACCACAACCTTCTACCTCTAAAAAACCAAATAATGAAAGAAATAGAAAATATCATTCTTTCTATTAGGAGACCTGCCTAGTGTTCAGGACCAATCTCCATATAATGAACAATATGGTTACACTAGAGAACGTATAAATATGTATCGAATAGCAAATATTAATAATCTCAAATATATTAATCCAAACTTATTAAATAAAGGATCATATTTAAATAACCAATACACAATACGTTCTGCCAAAGAAAATTTATCAAACAAAATGAAAAAGAAAGCATCGGAAGATCCCGATTACCAATATTTACTCAAAGATTATAAATTTGAAAGGAATCCACAAATAGTCTCAAATGAACCAAAAGGAAAGAAAGCATACTACTTTGTAGTATTATTAAATAATCTACCTATCAAATTCTTACTCGATGAAAGAGCAAGTGCCAATGTCATAGGATTAGACCTGGCACGAGAATATGGTTTACTTAAACTATTAAAAGAACTGCCCACCAGAACAGCACAATTACCTGGAGGAAAGGTAATCAAAAATTATTGAAAAATTACAGTACCTTTTCAAGTGGACGGATATAAGGAAAACCTTAAAATAACAATCATAGAGGGAAACCAAGCATACCTTCTACTCTCCGAAATCGACCAAGCAAGGTTAAATATATCCAAAGATCGAAAACGACGAATTATCCTCATACATGGAAAACTGATAAATTACCAAGATATTGATGAAAACCATCAAATTTCTAAGGAGTTTAGGCATTATGATCAAGTCTCTATTCGTAATGACCTAGTTTCTCTGGTACCCCTCCGTACCTTGAGAATATGCGAGTCCAAGCTAGCCAAGTATCTCGAAAAACGGAATACCCTCAAAAATCGGAAAAAAACCGCGAGAAAGGCGCCCAACGTGTCAACAAATACACGAACCCTCATCTCCAATCAATCAGGAATAATGCAAAATAATACTGGTCGCCAAAAAATGATATCACAAAAGGCGCCTAGTACCCAAAAATGGGTCCCACAGGAATACCATAATCCTAAATATGAAAAATTAATTAATGAATTAATACCCTATTCATTTAATGAACAACTTAACTTGTTAAGAAAACAAGTTGAAAGAAATAAACGAAGAAACAAATTAATAGGAACTACCTGTGACGGTAGATGGTCTGAAATAGTAAGAACTGCTTTAGCTACAGACTCTAACATCCTTCAAATCTTCCTAACATATAAAGAATTAGAAGGGCAATTCAAAAATGAGCAAGAAAAAAGATACGCCGAATTACAAAACGGCGAACCTGATAAAACAGAGACAATAATATTATAATGGGCAATAAAAATATTGGGCTAAAAATGGTACTACACATTACATTAGGTTTGTATATTAATCAACTATTGTATGGGCACAATGGAAAGAGAAATTGGAAAATAAATAGAATATTACAAAAGCTTGCAAGAGCGCAAGGAATGAATATTAGATGGGCTTTAATACATATAGGTACTCTGGCTGGAGATAAGAAATGATCAGACGTGATCGACAATATTAATGAAATATTACGCGTAATAAACAAAAACCGATAGGATATCGGATTACTATTGGAAAACTCAGCCAGCAACAATTGCTTTGGTGCAACCATTCCAGACCTCATGGATATAGTGAATAGTGTAAGTCAAGAGTTACGGTATAAGGATAAGGCAAGATTAAAGAAGCGAATAGGCATATGCTTCGATACGCAGCACTGGTATGCTGCAGGGCAAGCAAGAGAATCGATGAATATCGAAACATACTAAGAATGTACGGACAAGAAATCATGTTAGTACACATGAACAACAGCCCGCCGGAAGTAATATTCGGCAGAGGAATAGACAAACATGAACACCTATTGGATCCACAAGCAAGTATACAACAAGAAGTATACCAAATGATTATACAGCATAAAGAGGTCTATGCTGCAGTATTAGAGACACCGTCAAGTGAAATAGCTAACCAAATAGTGCAAATACATGAAATCTCTAAATTAAGAGAATGGGCAGGAGATACGTTACAAGAAGAAACACTTCAAGAAGAATGGTCTAAAAGAAAAGATCAGGAATTAAAAGAACATAGAAATCAATATCACGAAGGGATAGGATCATCAGAGATGACAATTCAATTGGGAATGGAGTTCGAAGATCCTGAAGTAACATTACTCGCAGAACAATTACAGCAAATGACAGTTGCAGCGGAACATGAAGCACCGCAGAATAAACAAGAAAAGAAATTAAATCAAATCTATATAGAGGAGCACAAAGAGAAATAGATCAATTTAGAAAACAAGTAATTGAAAAAGATAATACTAAAAAGAAAGGAAAAGGAAAGGCAAAAAGTCTAAATATAACTTTTAGCCAACAAGAAAGCAAAACCAAATCACCCAAAATGGGAACATTTATTAAAACACAGTTGTCACAACTAGATAGGACCCTACAACTTGAAAAGAAACAAGAAGATCCAAGAATCAGAGCGGGATTAAGACAACTAAAACAACGATTAGAAAGTATGGAAACAAATTATAAATATGTTTTCCAATTAACAAAAAGAACAAACTAACGAACACATCCAGGAAATTGAGAAAGTCACAAACACAAAAATATTAAAATACACAGCTTCTTGATTAAATTTCTCTGTCATAATAATTTGGTAATTATGTTATAATTGCATATTTATAGCCTAATAGTTCAGTAATTATATTATAATTGTATAGTGATAACCCAATTAATCAATCACCTGAATATTGTATCTCATAATAACCAATCAAAAATGTTAAAGTTCACAGATTCTTGCTTAAATTATATAGACACAGATTCTTGCTTAAATTATATAGACACAGATTCTTGCTTAAATTATATAGATAGATCAAAAACGTTAAAATGCACAAACCCAAAATTTCTACATACTGATCACAGTTTTTGAACATGGCCAATCAAAAATGTTAAAGCAAACACACCCAACATTGAATTATATATATAGAAAAATTTTCCAAAAATGTTAAAATGCACAGACTCAAAATTGAATTATATAGAAAATTGAATTATATAGATGAAACGGATTACTGGATTCAAGCTCTAGATGGTAGAGATTTTGTATATAGTAGGTCTTTTGAGTGTTGCCTAGAGAAAATTTATAATCGGGCTTTTAATTATATTTTATAATAAGTTATCATAAAATATAATTTCAAATCATTAGTAGTGTCCATATATTATAGCAGTGTTGTACATTTTGACTGTCCAAACGCTTTTTTGGTACTGCCCAATGTCCAAGTATCCAAGTGTCCACAAGTGTTCAGAGCATGTTCAAGCTTTAATAATTAATAAATTTGTTTAAAAATATATAATTATATATTTTTTTATGTACTGAACATATTTTACTTAGAAATTAATATAGATTATCTTAATAAAATTTTGAGTAATTTTAATTTATTTAATTGT